ACACATATTTCTCAGGGAGTGAATTTTTTGAGTGAAATAATTGAGTACATTTTTATCTAAAATAGAGTAAATTCATCATTTTACTCAAATATGATCTCTATTTAATCAATAGCTATTGAATAAGCTCATGTTCGAGTTATAACCCCTATCTTTGAGTAATGGAATAGAAAAATTCACTTAAAAACTCATGTTATGTTTTACACAATAAAAATTTGAGTGAAATCACCCAGTTTAGAGTATTTTCGCTCATTACTAATCATACGTCATACGCGCTTCTTCGATACCGAATAAGCTATTTCCCTGTTCCTCAGTTTTTAATTATCTGTTCGAGTCGTAGGTTGTCTTGTTCCTTCGAAGGTGCCCAGGTTACAAGTCCATAGTGTATGTGTGTGTGATGTAAAGTGTGACAGTGGCCGCGTGGCGTGGTGAAGCGAATACGAACTCATAACTCCTAAATATGTTTTATGTTAAGAACATTTTTTTTCACATCGCAGAAATCCGCCTAACATATATTCAAATTCGACTGCGTCTACTGATTGCCGCAATGCTCGGATGTTTCCTGGACTAATTAGCGTAGCGAAAATCTAGGTACTTTCCCTCAATCTGGAACTGGGAACTGGAACATTTGGCAGAATAACATTTTTTTTTAATTTTCAGGAGGAAAAGTATCTGGATTTTCCGGAGGATTTTCGTTATTAAAAGTTAGTTTAGAAATTAGAAATATTCGAGAATGTTGGTAGCCGAGCTGACGAATGCTCTTAATAAAGCGGATTTTTGCGATGTGATGCAACTTTTCTAGACATCTAGCTTAAAAAGTTCCTGTATTTTTTCCAAAAAGAGTTGAAAACTTTTTAAAATGTTTTTGATATTATAATAATAGTGTTATATTTGGTTTTATTTGTTTTTTTGTCAAATAAAAATGACAAATAAAAATATTTTTGAAGGTTCTACAGTTTTTTATTTGGTTTGTTAAAAAAAACGAAATATTCTAAATGATTTTTTTAAAAGCTATGTAAGCTAACTTGTTATTTTATTACAAGTGACCAGATGCCTCCCAAAAGTGAATTTTAGGAAATGGACATGTTCGAGACCATGTCCTAAACTGAAACTTACCTTTGAAAGGCACCTGCCCACCTGTTATAAAATAACAAGTTAGCTTACATATAGCTTTTAAAAAAATAATTTAGAATATATTTCTCAATACTGAGTGAAATTAATACTCAGATATGAGTACTAATCGAGTTAAGTGTAACACAAATTTGAGTAAAAGTCACTCAATAAAAGGTGTCTTGAACTCAACACTTAGTGAGTTCACTCATTTTAAAGTGAATAAATTATCAAAATCGATCAAAATCCTACTCAAGGTAAACAATAATGAGTAAAAAGGAGTCTTTCGTCTAATCTCGATTGAGTGAAAACACTCAGTGCTTTTCACTCTGAGAATTGAAGATTCACTCGGTTCTGTAGAGTGGAAATTTCACTCAATCGGGTGTGGACAGAAATTGAGAAAGTATTGAGTGAAATCTGAGTGAAATTTCACTCATTTTTTTTTACAGTGTAGCGTGTACCCGCGACTTCGTTCGCGTCGAATTAATCATTTGTAATGGTGATGATAAAGCAAATATAGAAATTGGTAATATTTGAGGGGTAGTTTCATCTTTTTGGAATTTGACTTTCGAAAAATCCGTTTGCCAAAAATAAGCTTTTTACGTCAAGCAGTTTAAGCAGAATCGTGGTTAATACCCAACTTTTTGGAACATCCTGTATGATTTTTTAAAGAATTTCAAAATATGTAAAGAAACAAAATAAATTATGCGTGTCCAAGCGTTTTCCCGAAAGACTAACCGTTTTTTAAATAACAAATATTGTAATATTTGAGGGACGTTTTCAACGTCTTGTAATTTCAGATTCGAGACACCCCTCCTCATCGAACCTCTACACCCCACAGTCAATTCGTTTGCCAAAAATCAGCTTTAAACATCAAGCAGTTTAAGCAGAACAGTGATTAGGTACTCAATGGTCATATTTTATGAAACACCCTGTAAAATTTTTAAAAAAATTTTAAAACAACAAAATAAAATACACGTGTTTAAGAGTTTTTCCGAAAAACTCACCGGTTTTTAAATAAAAAATATTCTAATATTTGAGGGGTGGTTTCACCCCCTTAGAATTCGAGTTTCGAAAAATCCCTTCTTATCGAACCTCTACACTCTAAAGTCAATCCGTTTTCCAAAAATCAGCTTTTTACGTCAAGCGCTTTAAGCAGGATCGTGATTAATCAATGACCAAATTTTTCGAAACAATCTGTATACATTTTTAAAAAATCTTAATATGCAAAAAAACAAAAAAGAATATATGTTTTAAGCGTTTTTTCGGGAACTTGACCGTTTTTTAAATAAAAAATATTGTAATATTTGAGGGGTGGTTTCACCCCCTTGGAACTGGAATTTCGAAAAATCCCTTGTTATCGAACCTCTACACCCTAGAATCAAACTGTATGACAAAATTGAGCTTCTTACGTTGAGTTGTTTGAGCAGTATCGTGCATATTAATCAGTGACTCACTTAAGGATTTTATACAGGGTTGTTCACCACATAGTATTAGACACGGAGTATTGTAGTTAGACGATTAGATTTTTGCAAATTGTAACTTTTGGGTTCGTTGAAGGACTATTAGAGCTACAATTTAAAAATATGTTTACAAGATACACAATGTCCCAAATAAATAAAAAATATCAAAGTTGTATTTTTTTAAATGGAACACCCTGTATATTATTACATTTTTCGTTTCTACGATTAAAATAAAGGTAAATTTGAATAAGGTTTATCACTTCTTATTTTACCGTTTTTGAAATATTTTCAATTGTGTGAAATTGCAGTAAAAATTTTAAGACTTCGTTTCTCCAAGGGTATCGAAGTTTTTAATACTAAATATTTACTGAAGTTTATTTATTGATCAGTTATTGTGTTGCAATAATAAAAATAATACTTCCTCATACGGCGTGTCTAAAAATTTATTTTAAATAATTACTAGCTTTAAACGGCAATAATTTGTTTAATTTAAATGGAACACCCTGTATATTTTAGGAGTATCAGATGCACAATTTAATTGTCTATCAAATTGTACTATAGCATTTTTTACCTATATCTTCAGGTTTTTGTAGAAAATGCATTTCCTTATAATTTAGACCTCATTTATCAATCTATCCATGGAATATTGACGTTTTAGATTAATTTTAAAGATGTAACAAATTTTTAAAGAGTACAGATACTAATATTGTTGATAAAGTTGGTTTATTTCATTAAAAAATTTAAAAACTGTTCTAAATATTTGTTAAAGAGGACCAATTAATATGATTCCAGTATTCAAACTACATTAATTGACTGTTTGCTTTGATTAATAATAATTGCTAATAATATTAAAACACTTTAAAATAGCCTTAAAAACATTATTTCATTTTTTGACGAATGCTTATTTATAACAACAGGGACGTTCATTTTCATAACTTATTATTATATTTATTTCTGATTTAAATCCACATTTATTTAGAATCGTTTATTAACTATGTTAATAAATGATTCAATTAAATGTAATTAATTAGTATTTGGACGGAAATACTGGTGGTATATTTAATTATTGGTATACTCTTTTGTACAGATATAAATAGTTTTCTTTTTGTATACAAATGGGTTAGTAATATTATCGTTTTTAACACCTGTACGTTTTATACATTCTTTGCTTTAAAAACAATCTAAAATGTCAATATTCCATGGGTATATTGATAAAATGAGGTGTAAATTATAAGAAAGTGCATTTTCTACGAAAACCTGAAGGGATAGGTAAAAAATGGTATAATACAATTTGATAGACAATCAAATTGTGCATCTGATTCTCCTAAAATATACAGGGCATTCCGTTTAAATTAAACAAGTTATTGCCGTTTAAAGCTAGTAATTATTTAAAATAAATTTTTAGACACTCTGTATGAGGTAGTATTATTTTTATTATTGCAACACAATAACTGATCAATAAATAAACTTCAGTAAATATTTAATATTAAAAACTTTGGTACCCTTGGAGAAATGAAGCTTTAAAATTTTTACTGCAATTTTACAAAATTGAAAATATTTCAAAAACGGTAAGGCTTAAGTGTGATAAACCTTAATCAAATTTACCTTTATTTTAATTGTAGAAACTAAAAATGTAATAATATACAGGGTGTTCCATTTAGAAAAATATAACTTTGATATTTTTTATTTATTTGGGACACTTTGTATTACGTAAAAATATTTTTAAATTGTAGCTCTAATAGTCTAATCGTTTAGCTAAAAATCTAATCGTTTAGCTACAATACTCCGTGTCGTATGTGGTGAACAACCCTGTATATTAGTATAGATTTTAGAAAAACAGTCACTTATTCGTAAATAACAGATCATTTTTTTCACATTATATTGTCCAGAAAGTAAAAAAAACCTAGTAGTTCGATTGTCGTTAAACAAATAGTCCACAATTCGATATTCGATATTTAATGGACCACTACTAATGGCATAATAAACAGTAAAATATTGCCTCGTTCTTTCCGTTATTCCAGTTGTTTGTTTATCGGATGGAAATGTCGGGAGCATTATGTTATCACCACGTAATTTATCGACGGTTATGTGTATACTTTATATGAGTTAATAAAAAATAATACTGTTTCACAAACGAAATATTACCATTATTTGATGGTGTACATGGAGTTATTTTAAGTAGATACAGAATGCGAACCTTATAACTTGAATCTGATAAAATATTTTAATTAAAACAGTAGAATTACCGAAAAAGTTGTTCACTTAATCGAGGTTGCCGCTGTTCACTCTATAGAACCTGTAATGTTACGATTTTACTATTCATTCTAATGAATAGTTCATATAAAAGATGTTCACACAACCGAGCGTCTACTGGAATTATAGTAACTTCTTTGAGGTGAATACGTCGAAAAATTCTGTAGTAAAACTCACCTTAAACTTGTCAGCAATGACCCTGCCAACGTTATCGGAGTGGGGCCTGCGGGGTACTCTACCGGGGGGCTTTCGCCGTAAAAGGGGGGGACTGTCGAAAGGGGCGCCGTCGGTGTCATGGGACTCGCTACTGTCCCCTGCTGCCCCGCCACCGCTTGGTATCTGAAAAGCAAATTAAAACGAAACGTTATGAAGGAATAATTTTTGGATAAAGATGAAGTTATTGAATATGATATCAATGTGCTATTCTATAATAGTATTGAAATAGTTTAGGAATCAACTGAGGGTATGGGAACGAATTAAAGAGAGGTCTTTCTCGAAGTTTTAGTGCAGAGTTATCAACATGCCAAAAATATTTTGCATTTCGAATAAATATTTCGTAGTTTTTTGGACTATAGTTTTTTTCAGTATACAGTTCGTCGGATATCCTTTTTGATATTTCCTATTTCGTGGCTATGAGTGAATATGGACTGTTGCATAATATGTCAGCTTTTGTTTGTATAAACTGCAGATTATCACTTGCTTAATTCAGTTGAATTTATTGGATTGCTTTTAATTTATTAGTATCGTTCTGTGTGAGTTGTTTTATTTTGAAGACGATAGTATGAGAAAACTCATCATTTTTAGATAGACGCCGAGAAACGTTTAAGTTGAACTTTGTCGTTTTCTTTCCGTGATGAACTTCATAGCCAATCAAAATTACTACAGATATGTACCATATGATCGAAATAAACGGTGTCAAAGACGGTTGGATAATGACAATCGATGATAATTTTGACGTCGCCAAAGTTCATTCATCATCGATTGTAGGCCAAGCGAATGTACAGGGTGGGTCAAATTCGACGCTTTTAAATGGAAACACCCTTTTCTATAGAAGATAGACAAAAACTAATATCGGCGTCTGGAGCTCAATTTTTGTCAAAAACATGATGGTGAAAACCGCATATCGATATCTGGTACAGTTTCGGAGTTACGGGGTGTTTTTCAAAAATATGCATTTTTAACAAATCGCTGTAACTTTTTTGCTATGGAAAATGTTGTATTTTTATAAAAACATTTCCAAAGCACCTTTTTACGTAGAATTTAATGGTTTAAGTATAATTTTTTTAAAATTAATAATTTAAGATTTATCAACAGAAAATTTGATTTTTTATATGGGACACCCTGTATATTTTTAATTTATTGAAAAGAATCTAAAATTACCTTTCCAAAAATATAACACACTTGATATTTTGCTTGATTCCTCTTCGAGATATAGAGTATATAAAAATTCGTCCGCTTTAAATAAGTAGGCTTTGAACGGCACCGGCTGTAATGTAAAAATTTTTAGCTGTGAGCATCAATTAAAACGAAAATAATATTTGCTATAAGAGATTTTTTTTTATCAGAATCTTATAACAATTTAAAATATATTTAACCAACATCAAAACATTTAAACTATCTAATAACAATAAAAATAAATAGCAAACCAAGACATGAGATTTTGCTACAGGTGTTCAACATATCAACCGTCTTCTGTTATGGACAGACGGGGCAGTTTTTGAATATTTCTCGCGGAATTCATTAACTCAGTGGGGGTGAAAGATACCCTCTCATAACTGCTAAGTATTTCTAATTCTTGTCTAGATTATACGGAAGAATAAGGAACCTTTATTCTTCCGCAAATATATACATAGGATTAGATCCATGGGCACTAAGTCAGGCGGCCTCGACGGCAAACGGATGGGATCTTGGTTAGCTATTCAATTATTCTTGAAATTGGCTGCAAAAATTTGCTGATAACTTCAGCGTTCAGAGGCGGTGCATCGTCTTGCTGGAAAAATATGTTTTTCGGGTTCCATTAAGGGCATTTCATCAATAAGGGGTCCAAAGCCTACTCGTTAAAAGTGGCGAACTTTTAAAAATTCTGTATTTCGAAGGGGATTATAACAAAATATCAAGTGTGCTATATTTTTGGAAAGGTAATTTTAAATTTTTTTTCAGTTAATTAAAAATATAGAGGGTGTCCCAAATAAAAAATCTATTTTTCTGTTGATAACTCTTAAATTATTAATTTTAAAAAAATTATACTCAAACCATTAAATTCTACGTAAAAAGGTGGTTTGGAAATGTTTTCATAGAAATACAAAATTTTCCATAGCAAAAAAGTTACAGCGATTTGTTAAAAATGTACATTTTTGAAAAACACCCCGTAACTCCGGAATGGTAACAAATATTGATGTGCGGTTTTCACCATCATGTTTTTGATGAAAATTGAGCTCCAGACACCGATATTAGTTTTCGTCTATCTCCTATAGAAAAGGGTGTTTCCATTTAAAAGCGTCGAATTTGACCCACCCTGTACATACTTTATTGGCAGATACTCTCCTTTATTTTTTAGTAGCGCTTACTGTCAGTTGGCCTCGAGGTTGGCCTTGAGAAGGTTATAATTATTTTTATATTGAGAATTTTTACTTTTTTTAAATGGTGTAGTTTAAAATTCGAAGAAAAATTATTTTTTTGGAAATAGATTTGTGTCTCTGGAAACGTTCTATCCTTTCCTAATCCTTCTATAATAAGTGTTAACTTTTGTCAAGTTTACAAATGACACTATTGCGATTTATTGAAAAACAGTGTTATGGAGCAGAAAAACAGTGCAGGGTGCTACAAATTCGAGGTAAGCGCATTGGTATCTCGAAAATAGATACGAAGACGGTTAAATTGAAGCAAAATTACGCCTTGGGTTGTTCACCAAGATGCCATCAAAAAAGTTTTAAAAATTTCAGGGATTGCTGAGTTTTTTTAGAAAAAAAAAACGGATTATTCTGAAAATGTTTTATTTTTTCCTGTCGTTACTTTCTAGAAAATCTAAAAAACAATTGCACATTCTCATTGCCACTTTATAAGGGCTATCTGATAGTATTTTTAGATTTTCAAGTTAGCTGATAGTTTGTGAGATACAGAGGCCAACTTAATTATTTGAAATACGTCACACTTTATCCTTTTTTTGTTTTGGATACCTTAACAACAACAAAACTATCTAATTATTATTTAAAATAATTTCAAGTCCGACTCTAGTTTTTTAAATTATTTAATCTGACTATATTCATCGCAACAATATTGATCAGCGCTAATTAACATTGAATAAAGAAAATCGAGCCAACTGATGGAAGAATCAAATAAATAATATCAAGGTCAGCAATTTAAATATATTATGTTTAACTTTGTTTGTGAGTTTGAAATCTCACGATTTAATAATACGCACTAGCAAGTGACTATACAATATACATACAAATATTATACCGACCATTTATTAAATTTACTTAGAATTAACTAATTATATATAAATTGTACTGAAGCTGTGGTTGGTTTCTTGTGAAACATCGTTGAAATATTAGTATTTTAATAAAACACGCTTTTAGATGTATCAAAAAACTTTTAATAAGAGTAACTCTACATATACCTACATGATATACCTACAACAGATTTTAGTATTTCTAACTGTTCAATGTAATTTAAGCGTCTACCTTTTGTTTCTCTGTGTAGTAACTTAATTGAGTTTTCATTAATTTTGTGATTATTTACTATACAATGAGTTGCAAGACCAGAACTATACTGGAGATTATTAATAGACTTTACATGTTCTTTAATTCTTATATCTAAATTTCTACCTGTTTGGCCTATGTACACGGCATCACAATCATTGCAATCCACCCTATATACACCCGACTTATTTTTAACATTAGTTTTGTCTTTATTATTTAATAAAATTTGACCTAAATTTCTTTTATTTACGTTAATAGTTTTACATCCTATTTTATTGAGATTATTTGATATTTTGTTAGTTAAATTAGGAATGTAGTTTAAAAGTCGATAATTGTTATTGTTTTTAGAATTAGCGGAATAAAAATTTTTCATTAATATTTTCTTTTGTTTTTTCTTTAGCATATTATCAATAAGGGAACACTTATATCCATTGTTGATGGCGATTTGTTTAATAATATTTAACTCTTTTTTAAAATTCTCTGGGCTCAGTGGAAACATTACTAATCTTTGAATTAATCCATGAAAGGGTGACATTTTGATTTGCCAGGATTGGTGTGATTGACTATGTATTACAGTGTCTGTGGTAGTGGGTTTTCTGTAAATATCAAATTGTAATCTATTAGACTGTTTTATAATTGTAAGTTTTTTAACATTATTAAATTCAATTAACCTTAATATACTATTGAAAAAGGTATTAATACCATCAATTTTCTTGATGTTACAATTATAAAACAGTCTAATAGATTACAATTTGATATTTACAGAAAACCCACTACCACAGGCACTGTAATACATAGTCAATCACACCAATCCTGGCAAATCAAAATGTCACCCTTTCATAGTTTAATTCATAGATTAGTAATGTTTCCACTGAGCCCAGAGAATTTTAAAAAAGAGTTAAATATTATTAAACAAATCGCCATCAACAATGGATATAAGTGTTCCCTTATTGATAATATGCTAAAGAAAAAACAAAAGAAAATATTAATGAAAAATTTTTATTCCGCTAATTCTAAAAACAATAACAATTATCGACTTTTAAACTACATTCCTAATTTAACTAACAAAATATCAAATAATCTCAATAAAATAGGATGTAAAACTATTAACGTAAATAAAAGAAATTTAGGTCAAATTTTATTAAATAATAAAGACAAAACTAATGTTAAAAATAAGTCGGGTGTATATAGGGTGGATTGCAATGATTGTGATGCCGTGTACATAGGCCAAACAGGTAGAAATTTAGATATAAGGATTAAAGAACATGTAAAGTCTATTAATAATCTCCAGCATAGTTCTGGTCTTGCAACTCATTGTATAGTAAATAATCACAAAATTAATGAAGATTCAATTAAGTTACTACACAGAGAAACAAAAGGTAGACGCTTAAACTACATTGAACGGTTAGAAATACTAAAATCTGTTAAAAACGAAAATAATGTTAACGACCAACAAGGATTTCCAAACACATTTTTTATTACCCCTATTGTAAACTCTCTTAACCCACCCCCATAGCAAATATATATATAGTTACAGTGTAGTTAGACGATTAGTTCTTAAAAAACTCTTGAAAAAGGCCTAACAAGCCGAAACATATATGTAGAGTTAAAGTTACTCTTATTAAAAGTTTTTTGATA